GGAGGGAGGGAGGAAGAAAAAGAAAAACAAAAGCTGAGAGCTGAGGATGTAGCTCAGTGGCAAAGTACTCCTCTAGCATAGATGAGCCCTAACCCCCAGCAGCAAACAAACAAAAAGAAACATAAAATGAGAAGCAATAAGTTGGGAATGAGGTATGATAAACTACAAGCATTTACTCATTTTTTTAAAAATCCTGGCCCTGCCAGGAGTGTTGTTGCATACCTATAATCCCAACTACTCTTAAAGCTGAGGTAGAGGGATCACAAGTTCAAGGCCAACCTCGACAAGTTAATGAGAACCTGTCTCAAAATAAAATTTAAAAAAGGACTGGTGCTGTAACTCAGAGATAGTACATTCCTGGATTCAGTCCCCAGTACCACAAAATCCTGGCCCTAAGAATTTCTTTCACTGCCAAGGGCATCTCTCCAGCACTTTCTGCCACCTCTTATAATTTAGTATTCCTTATGCATAGTTAAAAGTTGGTGAGCTCAGCTTCCTTCCCCTAGCAGTCCTGTCCAAAAACAAAGCCTTGAGACTGGGGGGAGTGGTGGGGATTAGGACTTATTGTGAGAAAGGTTTCAGATGAAGTTCACTGACATCTAAATGTGGAGCTGAGGGGTTTCAGTCTTCTCCATAAACCTTTAGCTTTCCTTTCTCTTACTGGGAGCTAGATTAGTGACTTCATCTGGGAGAATGTAGCCAAGAATGTGTTCTATACTAGGATGCATACTGACCACAACAATCTGCCAAGAACTGGGGTAAGATACACCAGAAGTAGATTATTTGAGGACAATCTTGATTATCTTTTCCCTTTTATGGGAACCTTCTAGATAATGCATACATAGAGCTTCAATAAAAGCTTTCTAATAAATGCAAAATTCTGATAGTTGTAAAAATTAAAAATCCAAAGAGATAATTGTGCTGCTTCACAAAATAGGATCAGCAGCTAATTATGAATATCATATCATGTAAGGTTATAGAAATCAAATTCTTAGTGTTGCAGTCAAACTGTTACTTTTCTTTTT